TAAGCTTTGTGGGGCAAATTCATCTCATGATTACAAATGGACAAGTCTGATATGTTCTAATTGGACCTGATTTGCATATACAGGAAAGGATTAGAGATTGGTTTTGATAGCTTAAGGCTACCTTTGTACTTTACGATCAAGACTTTTTCTCCCTGGGTGTGTGTGTGTGTGTGTGTGTGCGTGCATGTGTGTGTGTGTGTGAGTGAAGAGTGTGTTAGCATGTTCCACTGATGATTAAAAATGTATCACACATTTGAACAAAATGTAATATCTGGCAGAAATATATGAACATTTATTCAGAGAGATAGGGTTTAATTCTAGCAACTTAGTTTGTTACTCTATTGATACTCAGTGCTAGAGTCTATGTTTAAGTGTAGGCCTAAGTTGAGGACAATTTAAAGTATAATATTACTAGCTTAATTTGTTACTCTGTGATAAAAAGCCTCCAACCTGTGCCTTAGTCCTAGGCTTAGTACAATACCTAGATGTAGACATACACCTAGACTATGTCTGCTTCTGCAGGCATTTTAAAAGTGTGTAATACTGCACACAACTTAATTTACTAGGCACTGCAGCACTTACATTAATTAGTTAAGCTGCTGAGTTTAAGTCTGGGTCTGAAGACATTTTAATGTGTGTAATGTCTTTGGGTCTAAGTCTGGTTGCACATCTGCAGACATTTAAAAAGGTGTAAAACTGAATAAATATTGTAAGTCAGGATGTAAGTCTGGGTCTAAGTTTGGTTTTATGCTTGCAGACATTTAAACGTAAAACTAACTTAATTTTTGTTTGTGTCTATGTTGGGTTCTAAGTCTGGTTGTGCATCTGCAAGCATTTTAAAATGTGCGAAACTTCGTTTTATAAGTATGGGTCTAAGTCTAGTTCTACATCTGCATCTATGTCTGGATCTGGTTTTGTCTGCAGTCATTTTTAACTTAATTGTTAAGTCGGAGTCTATGGGTTTAAGTCTGGCTGTAAATCTGCAGACATTTTAAAATGTGTAAAACTAACTTCATTTTATAAGTCAGGGTGTACATCTAGGTCTAAGTTTGGTTTTATGTCTGCAAACATTTTAAAATGTGTAAAATGAGGGTGTAAATGCCTGTTCACACCAACAATGATAAAAATCGTTCTCAATATTAAAGATTAGCAGAGTCCACACCACAGCTATAACGATAAAGGCACAGAGAAACGATATTGTTAGAATCACGTTCAGAATGATTTTTTTCCAGCTGATGAACGAGAAAAAATTACAGCCAATCAGAATAAATCCTGCTACAACGAGCTCGAGAATTTAAAGCAGCAGACGAGCGTGCATTTAGAATAAACAGACGATATCATCTGCTGGTGTGGACGCTAATATAGTTGTCTTTATAGTTATCGTTCTTCGTGTGAACGGGCCTTAAGTCTGAGTGTAAATCTGGTTGTATGTCTGCAGATGTTTTAAATTGTATAAAACTAAATTTTATAAATCAGGGTGTAAATCTGGGTCTAAATTTAGCTGTACGTCGTCTGCGGATGTTTTAAAGTGTGTAAAACTACATTTTATAAATCAGGGTGCAAGTCTGGGTCTAAGTCTGGTATGTCTGCAGAAGTTTTAAAATGTTTAAAGCTAACTTAATTTCATAAATCATGGTCTAAGTCTGGGTCTAAATCGGGTTGTACATCTTCAGACCTTTTAAAATGTGTACAACTAACTTGAATTTGTAAATCTGTAAGTCTGGATTTATGTTTAGTTCTAGAGTACATCTGGGTGTCTGTCTGGGTCTATGTCTGGATCTAAGCCTAGTTTTATGCTTGCAGATGTTTTAAAATGTGTAAAACTCAATTTGATAAGTCTAGGTTTATGTTTAGAACTAAGTCAGTATCTAAGTCTAGCAAGTTTGGTAAGTGTTGCAGTCTGGGTCTGCAAATAATGTAGACAACTTATAGTGTAATACTACCCGCTTAATTTGTGTTGTAGTCTAAGTTGGGGTCAAGGTCGAAGTCAGAGCCTAAGTCTACGGTTTAGGTTCAAGTGAGAGAGTGTGAACGCAGAGATGAAGGACAGATGGAGGGAGAGTTTAAGTGGAGAGGACAGAGGGTTTGCAGGCAGGACTTCATCAGATCAGCCGAACGCATCGCAAGTCTCTGATTCCGACTTGAATTAGAATTTAAATTATCTTGTTTTTTTTTTCAGAGCTGGAGCAGCCGCCTTTTGAGGGGAACTGAGCATGTGCACCAAGCTGATGTGATATTTATCAGGCATATTTTATCTTTAGGACACTTTTGTTAGGGATACCTGCTTTTTCAGTATTGTTTTGGAATGGTATAGTTATTTTCAGCACTGAAACTGCATCATGATCCACAATAAACTTACATGTTGTTGTGTAAGGGTCAATATTGCGACAAATTATATAGATAAATAATATTTGATATATTATATAAAAATTAGGGCTGTCATTTTAGCGCATTAATTTAATTAATTAGTTAGGGAAAATAATGCAATTAAAATATTTTACCGTAATTAACGGCCCATTTACCGCCACCTGCTTGGCAGTTTTAGTTTCTTATTTAGAATATCATTCATTTAAAAAAAAAAAAACGGCAATAATAATTATAATAAATAAAGTGATAGTTCACCCAAAAATAACAATTCTGTCATCATTTACTCACCCTCATGTCGTTTCAAACCTGTATCACTTACTTTCTTTTATGGAACATAAACAAAAATAATGAAGAATGTTTGTAACCAAGCTGATTTGGTTACCAATGACTTTCACTGTATCATTGATCATTGAGATGTTTCTCAAATGATATTTTTATGTTCCATAGTTTATGTTAGGCTGTTGTAGGCTAAACGTTTTTTGTAATACATTTTATGTTGATTCAAATAAAAATATTTATTTCTAAAGCTATTTTATGTTATATCTACTTGATACTTCTTTCTAATTTAACACAATATTGGCTTTTAATTATCTTTTGGGGGTATAATAATATAAATTATATTTTTGTTATGTAAAATATATAATTATATCAAATTAATCTATAAATAAATTGATATTGTATAAATAAATATATAAATATTACATCTCATCTATAATTGTATTTGTTTATTTCTGTATTTTTATTAAGCATCTGTTTTTATGGAATATTTGTATGGATCTTGTGTTTTGTGAAACTTTTGTTTATTAGTTTGTGTGTGTATGTATGTATATATATATACAGGTGCATCTCAAGAAATTAGAATGTCGTGGAAAAGTTCATTTATTTCAGTAATTCAACTCAAATTGTGAAACTTGTGTATTAAATAAATTCAATGCACACAGACTGAAGTAGTTTAAGCCTTTGGTTCTTTTAATTGTGATGATTTTGGCTCACATTTAACAAAAACCCACCAATCTCAACAAATTAGAATACTTCATAAGACCAATAAAAAAAACATTTTTAGTGAATTGTTGGCCTTCTGGAAAGTATGTTCATTTACTGTACATTACTCAATACTTGGTAGGGGCTACTTTTGCTTTAATTACTGCCTCAATTCGGCGTGGCATGGAGGTGATCAGTTTGTGGCACTGCTGAGGTGGTATGGAAGCCCAGGCCCCATGATTGTGTAGCCTAGTGAACCAAACTGAGAGGCCATTTTGAAGGCTCAGGAAACCTTTGCAGGTGTTTTGAGTTGATTCGTTGATTTGCATGTCACCATATTCTAATTTGTTGAGATAGTGAATTGGTGGGTTTTTGTTAAATGTGAGCCAAAATCACCACAATTAAAAGAACCAAAGACTTAAACTACTTCAGTCTGTGTGCATTGAATTTATTTAATACACGAGTTTCACAATTTGAGTTGAATTACTGAAATAAATGAACTTTTCCACTACATTCTAATTTATTGAGATGCACCTGTACACACACCCATATATATATATATCTGTAATCCATAATATATTGTGGTAAAGTACAACTGTACACACATATATATATATATATATCTGTAATCCATAATATATTGTGGTAAAGTACAAAAAATATATTATATTGTGTTGCATGTACAAAAAATGTTTAACATTTTTATTTGAATGCTTTTTTATTGGGGCTTAAAGTAAAAAAAAAAAACAGAAATAAGGTCAAAGTCTAATCATCCTTTTATTGCCTGTTAAATTAGATAACTTTGTATGAACTTTGATATTCATAAAATAACATGCAAACAAACAAAGCAAAATAAATTAATTACGAAAATTTTTACAGCCATTAAAAACTTCTCTTACAAATGATTACAAAAGTTTTTCTATAAGGTATTACACTGACATAAATGCAGAGATTTCAAAATAATTTTCTTTTCATCATCTTTGACTCTCCTTATTTCTCATTGACCCTTAAGCTGAATGCCAAATTGTAGGTCACATGCTATTCACAACGAATGTATGCCATTCATTATATGGCAAAAGGCAGTAATAATGGCATTATCTCATTTTACAGCTCAAAAAAAGAAAATACAAAATCATCACGCCAGCCTAATTGCATGGACATATTCAGATTCAATTAAATACAGAAAATGAAACGGAGCTAGTGAAAGAGCGCATAAACAGAGGCCATGCAGTAACTCATTATGAAATCATCAATACCAGAATCACACAAATTAGTCACCCCTTCTGCTGTCTTTTGCCAGGGCCATAATAGTCAAGCTAAATTAAATATTAATGTGTTTTTGATAAGCTTTGTCCATCTCTTTTGGCTTTGTAAACTTGCTCAGCAAGGTGATGTAATTTTCCTGTCCAGATGAAACGAGTCAAGGGAGACGTCGACTGAAAATCTGACACGGAGTAATTGCTGTGTAATGTTGTGACAGCAAAGTGTCACACTGATCTGGTGGCTTTCTCCGGTTTAAAACATGAGCAACCCATAATAAAAGCTACTCACTTCATGCCACAGGTTACCTTTTACAGGTATTGGCTACATGTATGATTAAGCAATATGTTTATACATTAAAACCTTTTTTCTCATGTTCATGTTTCTTTTAGGTAACCGGCCATGTGTGGTGCTGACAGCAAGGGTTCATCCAGGAGAGAGCAATGCCAGCTGGGTACTGAAAGGCACGCTGGAGTTCCTGTGCAGCAGTGATCCTGTAGCCGAGAGTTTGAGAGGGGCCTACATCTTCAAAATCATCCCCATGCTCAACCCTGACGGAGTCATTAATGGCAAGTATGTATATACATACACGCACACACACACACACACACACACACATGCTCAGTGTGCGAATGACTACATTTATTTCTTTCAACACATTGAATTTAGAAAAAATACAAGATCTTTGTGCTCTGTTTTGTTGCACAGTTTTTGAATGCAAGAATACATGGTGTGCCTTTGGCACCTTTGCTCATTCTGTGTTATTTGATCTTGGTAAGGGACCCCGAGCGCGGAACATTTGTTTGAAGACATTTGTATGTTTGTATGAAGGTGGTGCTTTAAATCTGATTTACTTCTATGGTAGGAACATCCATTTTTATGGAATTTATGTACACCATCCATCCATCCAAAATGGATATCTCAGACTAAATTAAACAAAATGTAATATTTTATATCGAGAGTCTGATCTTAAGATAATTGCTTGTTTTGATGGTTTGGTCAACACAGTATATTTTTATTGATTGACTGATTTATGTAAACATTTATTATTATTATAAATATATGTAATTAAAATATACACATAATAGGGGTGTAACGTTACACAGAAAGTCACGGTTCAGTACGTACCTCAGTTTTGTGGTCATGGATCGATACGTGTTCGTTCGTTTTTTTTGTCTTTAGATAGATAGATAGATTGATTGTTTTCCCTTTTCATGATTGCCCGAGGCATCTGTAAGCAGGCTATTTCTCCCTGTCTGAAAGTTCAGTCACCATCTTGTCCAACACATTAAGGCAGTCACCTTTTTGCCCTTGGAATTGAGTGCTGAAATGAAAAAGACAAATGCCAGCGTGTTTTAATCTACCGGATATCGCCATATCTCCCCTGCTGTTCCCAGCTAGATAGTATTTACATGTGTAAAACCAATACAGAGGTCAACTCTGTGGCCTTCCCTATTTAAGAGCTCTCCTCCCCGGTTTATCTACACTCAAATCACAGTCAGGGAATGATCGATTCTCCTCGCGGCTTCCTCACAACTGAGGGTGACTTGATTTCCTCACCAAGAGAGCGGGGTCTCCTCCGTTGCGTGACAATACAGAGGTCAACTCTGTGGCCTTCCCTATTTAAGAGCTCTCCTCCCCGGTTTATCTACACTCTAATCACAGTCAGGGAATGATCGATTCTCCTCGCGGCTTCCTCACAACTGAGGGTGACTTGATTTCCTCACCAAGAGAGCGGGGTCTCCTCCGTTGCGTGGCCTCATTCTTATCACCAATACAGGAGCTTCTGTATGCTGCACTATTGATCAGGCACGCTAACTGTATTAGAGAGGATGCTCAGAGAATGGAGTTGTAGATCAGTGGGCGGCGAGTTAAAGGAGACTCGCTCTTTTCATCTGAGCGAGGATTTATTCCTCCAGTGACCCCATAACAAGCGTGTGGATGATAAAGACATGATCTCCTGAAGTTGTAGGCTCCAAGTCTGGAACTGTGCAATAACCAGATTGGTTTTTGTGAACTTTGAGTTAATTATGGACAAAAGAATAGAGGAAGTGAGGTCAAAATTCGATCTGTGTTGGTGTATTGGTGATGTTTAATGACATTTCCAAGCTCTTAAAAGGATAATTTACTAAAAAAAAAAATCAGATTCTGTCATTTACTCATCCTCCTGCTGTAATACCGGCACTTTTGCTCATTATTTGTTGCTTGATCATGGTGAGTGTTGTTTGTTGAGGAGCATTGTTTAAGGAATTTTGTATAAAGGTGGTACTTTTAAGTTTTATTTAGATTTATATATATACAGTTTTTTATAATTTTGTAAATCCCTCAATTTTTGGTTGACTGTTTTTGAAAATAATTTAATTTTTATTTATTATGAAATAAATGTATGAAATAAAATTATTCATATATTTTTATTACATAATTATTTTTTTCATGTCAGTTTTTATGATGACTTTTTAATCGCAAAAAAAAAAAAACAGATATAGATTCAGATATCATTGTTACGGAGCTGACGAGACGAGAGGCGTGCGAATCCATGTGCAAGCTTTTATTAATAAACATAGTCAAAAACACAGGCAGGTCCGAACAACAGCAAACAGGTATATCACAGGCAAGTCAAAGAATATTCCTAGGGCTAGCATGGGTCTTCGATCGGCGAACAGTATCTAGAGGGCTTGACAAGAGGGGTAATCCGTAAACGTGAGCATAAGTCAGGCAAGGAGCAAACACAGTCCGAAACAGCAAGCAACGGGTTAATCCAAGATACGTGGCAAGAATCAGGAAAACAGGCAAGGCAAGACTATGACTAGACTATGCAAACTAGAGCAGGCTCCTTAAAGTAGCTATCAGCTATCACAGTGATAAACGTGAGCGAACGGAAGTGCATGGACCGGATTCGTGACAATCATGATGATGGTTTTGATGTTTTATGTTTTGAACATGCTGTAAAACAGAAACATTTCCGGAAGTGGGGTTGAGATTTGAATCTAAATAGTTATAATCACAGTTCTAAGCTCTTAAAAGTATAATTCACTAAAAATGTAAATTTCTTTGATAATTTACTAATGTTTGCGTTGTTCCCAAACCTGTATGACTTTCTTTTGTGGAAAACAAAAGATATATTTTATTTTTGTCCCTGCATTGAAAATCAATAGGGTCAAATTTGTTGTTGTTTTGAACCCTTTGACTGTATTGACAACAATAGTTGGCACATTCTGCAAACTATCTTCTTTTTTGCTTAGCTGAAGAAATACAGGTTTGTCATACAGGTTTGGAATGACATGAGGGTGAGTAAATTAATTTTCATTTTTGGGTGAACGGTCTCTTTAAGTGTCACAACGCGTGCACCAATGCAATCCCATACCCTAATTGAACCCATTCAGTGTTTGTTTTCACATGAGCCTTCACAAATTACTGTGACAAATTTAGATTTCACTTCAACAAGGCGCACATTCACCTTTAGGGTATTACTTCCTGTGTGGGGGGCCTTTATTAACAGTTTCAGGGCAGCTTGTTGCTTGGTGACATGGGAGAGCACTTGATGCCTTTAGCGCTGATCTCACATCTTCAATAACACAGACGCTAGGTCTGTCGACATTGAAAACGATGTAGGTGCAGTCGGAAAGCAACATTAATGTATGCATTGATGTACGTATTTAGATAAATAACCTTTTAGTTTTATTCAATTTCTTACTGTTAGTGTGTTCAAAAGCTGAAAGTTTAGCAACAGAGTTCACAAATGCACTTCCATAAAGTCCACCGCACACTTAGAAAGCAGCAGAGCTCACCTTTTAAGATTGGACATCTTCTAAATATGGGTACTTTCGTCAGTTTCATTTATATGGTAATGCAGTATTGCATAGATATAAATACAGCGGTGTTGCAAGCCCTTTGAAATGGAAATGACAATGTGCGAAAAGGTCACATTTGCTTCCATCAAATTCATCACAGACTTTAGAAATTTCAAAGGGAAATATCCATAATGTAGGTCAAGGGGTCTGATGTTTTGTGAAACCCTGTGTCCGGTTTGAATCGAATTTTAACACGGAGGAAAAAAAAGTGTTTAAAAAAGTAAACGTTTATGAGCTTTCATTGTGAAATGCTATTAGCACAAGCCGTTTTACTGTACTGTTAGATCATATAATATGATTATGATTACTTCAGACTCATATTTGTGGCTTACTGGTAGTAAATTAGATAATAATCAGTTATGACTTGTTATATAGAATACTTATGCTTAAAAATTTATTTTCATCAACTTGGCATTATATACAGGCCATTATTTACTTCAGAAAGCTACAGTTTGTGGCTAGTTTTACAATATATGAATTTTAAACCTCTCAAATGTGTAGAGGAACCCCTGAGAAGCATGCAGATGCACACATTTTTTGAGGTTGCTGATGAAAGGTGTGAAGTTTAGCTCTCTCTGTACCGTTTATGTAGCATTCACAGAGATCTGTGTGATTCTCTTGTTGAAACTGGAAAAAGACAATTAATTGAGCAATCTTTTGTTCACTGCAACAACTGGGAGATGTGAATGTTGTGAAATTATTACAATTTCCAATACATATTTTCTGTTTTAATGTATTTTAACACGTAATTTATTCCTGCAATGGCAAAGCTGAATTTCCAGCAGCCATTACTCCAGTCTTCTTTGTCATAATGCAGCTATTGTTTGTCTAGTTTTACAATATATTCATTTTAAACTTGTCAAATGTGTACAAGAACCCCATAGAAGCTCACAGATGTACAATTTTTTTGAGTTTGCTGATAAAAGGGGTGAATTTTAGCTCTCTCAGTGCTGTTTATGTAGCATGTAGCGTTAACATTCACAGATCTGTGTGATTCTCTTGTTGAAATTGGAAAAAGACAATCTTTTGTTGACTGTAGGGACAGGGAGACGTGAACGGATGAGACTTGTGACAAACAGCAGTTTGGTGTTTGGCGTTATCTTGTTGAGCGACAAGATAGGGGGTGAGATTACAGAGCTCACTTCCTGCTCTGGCTTAGCATGGGACAAAGCAAGAGGTGTGAACAGACTCCGGCGTTCTGAGGTTATGTTTTCATCTCTGGGTGTGTTCATCACAGAGGCTGCTGTCAAAAGTGTCTCTCGGTAATGTCAAATAGAATTGGGTTTTCCGACATTGTGAACTCCCATACGAATTGCACATCAGCTGTACATAGCCTGCGGCGTAGTGTTCCTGATCAGCTTCGCTGCTCATACAGCTCACAATAAAAGCTGGACTGGTAAACATGAAGCATTGATAAATTCAGTGGCCCACTGGTATGTATCTGGACTTAAATACAAGAGTTTTGTGGTTGTTAATCCATGTGTGTTAGATTGTATGGTATCTTTGTGCAATTCTTACTGCTAAATAGTGACAAAATTCACTTTTAACTGATATACACTATTGCTCAAAAGTTTGGGGTTGGTAAGATTTTTTTATATTTTTGAAAGGAGACTATTATACTGGACAAGGCTGTATTTATTTGTTAAAAATACAGAAACAATAACCGTTTTCTGTTATAATATGTTTTAAAATGTAAATTTATTCCTGTGATGCAAAGCTGAA